ATAAATGTACAATAAATGTAAATAACTTCAAAATATAATTTCAAATAACTTCAAAATAAAGACCAACAAATATAAAATAAATAATTAGCAATAATATTAGTTTCGGATGTGACATTTAAATTATTTAAATTTGTACCGGTAATCACAGGCTGAGCCGATAATTCGCAAAGTAGATTAGAAGTTGACGGAATACATAAAATTTCATTCGCAGACAATTCATATCCTAGTGCAATCATTTTTCTTCGCAGTCTACAACGTTCCGCATTAGGTTGCGTTTTGTTTTCTTCTTTTTATGGAGTGGATATTCTTTACATTTCTCTGCATTAGTTTTAGGCATCTCGAAAACTTAAACAGAAATTTAAATGTATACTGATCCTGGTCAAAAATATCAAAATATAGATATCAGTCCACTCTAAATATAAGGGAGTGATATCAAGTTACTTCATGCGTCAACGGGCATGGCGCGGAGGAGCACTAGTTCCTGTTCAATCATTTAAGTCAAGCACCGCTTGAGTACGATTAGAACTTGGATGGGTGACCGCTTGAGAAAAAAAAAAGAGAGGAAAAAGAAAAGAAGAAGACTTTATGCCTTAAATTTGAAATCGCTTTGCCCGCGCATCTTAAATATCGACATCTTCGTGGTGTCGATTTTTCGGTCGCATCTAAATTCACTCTTATCACTTTTTCCAAAACGCGTTAAAAGAAATATAACTTTAAAAAAAAAAGTGCATTTGTATCATAGGGAGTGTAAATTTATATTTTGCTAACGATATAAATTTTATTATGAAATCAACATTATTACGCGCGCACACACACACACACACAAGTAATAGAATTAATAATTATAAATTAAATAATATACAATAAATAGCAAAAAAATTAACATTAAATAGCAAAAATTAATTTTTGTTTAATCAGTTGTTTCTCTCGTCCAAAAATAAAATTCTTAATAAGAAGGTATCACAGGGAATTTGGACATCAAAAAAAGAAGTAGAACTTAATTTTACTAAGTTGGACTTTTCATCCCTTTATTGGGACTTCTTCAGCAACTGGAAATTTATTTTATTATTATTTCTTATATTACGACATACATGAGGCTCATACAATATATAATTTTTTTTACATGTTACCTTAATTTTTACAGTTCAGCGTCTTTTTTCATTGGGTAGACATACATTTTTCTTTTTATTAATATTCAAAACACAAAACATCTAAACTTCGTTAAGTATTCGCTAGTTATATTATTACTGCAATACCTAAAGATGGAATTTAATTAGTATTAAAAACCTTCAATATGATAAATGAAAAAATCCAGTTCACCATTGAAGTAGAAGAAAACGGAACATTACCATTCTTAGATGTAACAGTCATAAGAAATGAAGACGGAACCATATCAACAAATTGGTATGTAAAACCAACAAGCTCAGGGCGATGTATCAATTACAATTCGAACCATCCCTTAAGTCAAAAAATTGGAACTATAAAAGGTTTACTATTTAGAGCTTTAACTTTAAGCAGTAATAAGTTTCATACAGAAAATAGGAAAAAAATAGAGACTCTTTTAAAGAATAATAACTATCCCATGAGTCTCATACGCATGGTATTTAATGAGTTTAAAATTGACAAAGATCGTGTAAAAAAT